AAATATATGTATGTTGTGTTAATGTGATAGTAATCTTTATACTGCAGGTTGAATTTTAAATGTTTTTTTTATAATTCAATAATTCTGGTTACTCCGAGACTTTGACTGTCGTATTTATCTAACTTTTACTACTGTAGAAAAATACATTTTTTCCGTTAAGTTTTACTGTCATAAATTAAAATAGTTTCAATGAAAGATTGCCTCTTTAAATGTCATACTTAGTTTCAAACTTTTAGATCGAACTCGTGTTATGGCTTCCATGAGTAACATAGTATTGTCAGGGTACGAACAATATCTGACTATGCAGTCAGTACATATATAGGATATTATCATATGGCTTCCCAATATAATACATATTTTACGAGTATGACAGACGAACTATATAATTTTTATCCTTCGCTTCATTAGCGGCCGAACAGGAAAATCGGCAGCTTTCAACGCAGTGGCTAAAGAACATTAAGATTCTTATATCATCACTGCAATCACTTCTTTTTTTGTGGGTGGGGGTGCGGGGTGGGGTGGGGGTTCGGGGGAGGGGGTTGCTTCTTTTTCTTCATTCTCCGTTTTTTAACAAACCGATACATTTCTCTGTCAATGTCAAAGAAGGTGAAAGAAAAAAAACTTGAACATCTATCCCTCGACCAATGTTTCTTTCCAGTCATTTTGTTTTAGTCGCATTTATTTTTAATCTATTCGTTAGAATTAAACATCAAATTTCAGTTTCGTTCATTTAAACATAATATAGGTTATTCCGGGGGGAAACGATGAACATGTAACTGACGTAGGCCGTCTGGAGAAAAGTTGCAAGATAGTTGGACAAATAAAAAATAATCTGCTGTTCGCATTTCAAACTATAGACAATCTATATTCCATCTTATCTCTTCCAAATGCTTTCCATATTTTTCTTAACAGTCTCCCCCTTCCTCCTCCTTGTAAATGAATCTATTTTGATCTTGTCTCACTGTAGGCATTCATCTCAACGCCTTTATGGTCGTGCCGATAAAGCAAAATAGGAATGTCTGGGTCGATAAATTCAATGCATCTCGAGTTTTTTAGACGAGTAGACCAATCCATAAACACAGGACATCGACCTTGGAAAACAAACTTTACGTCACTTTATAAACAACCTTGAAAATACGGGTGAAAATGTAAGAGTTTTTTTTTTATCTTATTGTGTTTATCGAAGTAGAAGGGATAGAAACACTAGACTGAGTAAAATCAGACTTTGTCATGGCAGGGTTTATCGCCTCGCAAACAACAGGATCATTTTGAGGCAGAGTTTCCTTGTAGTAGCGGGTGACTACCTCCATGAACAACATACGCGAGGTCCGCGAGGGTAAAGTGCCTTGCCAAAGGACAGAACCAAAACAACAAATATTTGTTCGTTTCTCATCTTTCTGCTCAAGTCTACTTTTCTTAATTTAAAAATCTTCCCCAGCATATATTGTCAAAAAATGGAAAAATGAAAACAGTAAATTTTAAAAACTCTACAGAAACAGGTTATATTTCAGAATCTAAATCCATCGTGTGCCACAAATTGTTTACTTTTAAAAAGGAGTTTCTGATGAATGATACATATATTAAATTATTGTCGTAGGATTCAGTTTAAATGTTTGGCTATGTTGTATTCTATTCTAAATTTGTATTGAAAGATGTCATATCCTGTGAATCTTTCGTGCAATCCACTTTCAAATATTTATTGAAAAATTCAGAATCATGACATGAATTATTTTTGAGTATATATAAGATAAAGTGTTTTAGTATTGTCGTTTTGGGATGTTCTGTGAAACAGCTATCAGATAACAAGAATAAAAAAAGATAAATATCAACTAAACACAACTGACCTATAACATTAAAACCGAATGAACTCTGAAATTTCGCATTACGTAGTACTATTGACACGGTGTAAAATAGTATGCAACATATTTATATGTGAAAATAGGTAGTATGAAGACGCGCGCGCCAGCTACTCTAGAGGATCAGGTACGACATCACAAAGTGACCAGTCCTCGATGTCCACCCATAGGATCAAAGGACGTATCACCCGAATTTCTGCTCTCAAAGGCACTGTGGCAGGAACCGGACTTATATACACACGTTCATTATCAAGGTGAGATAACATGTCTTAAAATATTGTCTTATTTTGGCGAGTGTTGTGAAAGGCCAAAAAATGCGGGCCACATTTGCCTTTCTGTCCCCAGCCAAAATACAGCTTATATACTGACCATGTATTATATATTTTTCCTTCGACATCTAAATTGAAATTTTTGAGCATCGAAACTTCCGACTGTTGGTTACAATTCTTTAATCTGACAGGCGTTAACGTCAGATAACGTGCTTGATAACGAACGCTAAAATAATTGCTCCGCGCGGAAATATAGTTCCAAACTTCGATAGACGTAACTCTTTTTTTGTAATAAAGTCAACAAATAAATCGCTTATTTAAAAAGACATATTTTTTAATGTATTATTTACTATAATATTGCTGAATACAGCAAACATATATGTGAAGGTGCATGATAAACAGATATATCTATGTAGACGAGATTTTATTTCTGTCATGTATAGTGATTAATCTTATTAGCCTTGATGGAAGCGCGCGAGGTACCATGTCTTGTCCGGTCGTGGAATCGAACCCTAGTCGTTTGAAATGTATACGAATGTAGTATCCACTTTGCTATCCAACTATCCGCACTTGTTGCCATTGGTTATGGCTGACATTTAAATAGGTCTCCGAGTAAATCTTTCTTGTTTTTCCTCCTTTTTATCGATTTGGAATTTGAATTAAGATTTTGGTAACATGCCGATATTTGCTTTTTTTATTTGACATTAAGATGCATGATTTGTAATATACTTACTAATAGATACAAACATGACAATTACGTTTAGATAAAACTCGTTCTTACGTAATCGAGTAACCTGTTAAATTCACGATTTTCTATATACGCAAGATCATAAAAACGGATACATATAAACGGAACATAAAATTGAATGAATTTGAGATTTTTAGAGAAAATGCCAAATATCTTTCAAATACATATATCAAAGCTGTGGTATGATTTTCTTTGAAAATAAAACTACTTACGTCACAGGAACAAAACTGGGGTCATACCCATCTGGGATACATTTCAGGAAGTTGATGCAACACTCTTTTTTATTTAAAATACACGCAAGATTTTAAAATTAAGTTTTAAATAATCTTGTCAAAGCACCTGAATTTATGTAGACGTACTAACGTAGTATAGGTAAATATTTATGTGTGTGCCTCCACTAGGAATTGAACCCAGGACGCACAAGGTGTCCGACACACATGTGAAACAAGAGGTCGCATACATTTATTAATATATTGAATGGCGTATTGTAGTAATATTTATAGAATAAACTTTTCCAGACATCTACAAACTTTTGTGAATATTTTTATATTTTACATTAAACATACAGCACAATTCTTGGTCATTTTTGATCTCTAAGACGTTTAACTTATAAATTTTCATCTTATAATGAAATTTATCTTTATTACAGAACGTACGAGTTCTCTCTTGATCAGGAATACCTAAAATTCTTCCACTTTCTGTAGGTCAATGCATATTGATGTTCTTATAACAAGTAATGATAATTATTCAATATTTGTGTTGTTTAAAGTTTATCTTTACTACAGAATATCTTTGCCCCTGAGAGGACGAGTTCTCTCATATCCAGCAGTGCTAGTATTTACCACTGTTACACTTACTATATGTGTATGTGAGAATGGTTAGAGTTTTCCCTAATGTGAAACCCGGGGTAAAATGTAGGTTAATTTGGGACTTTCCCCATGAATTTAAGAGGAAACAGTCTATTGTATAACTCCACATTATCTTTTACAATTATTTTAAGCAGCATGGTGATATAAAGATGATCAACTTTTTGAAATATGATAATTCTTTATCAACATATATGTTTCATACAATATGTGAAGTATGAAATAAATAAATATGACCTGCAAATCATTTCTTTTGAAAAATAGCTACTAGACTAATCATAAGGCAACGATTTACCTCCGCTATAGGTGCTAAAACCTTATCCACTTTCTACACGATTTACGGGTGAATTTGGTTTTTGACAAAAAAAAAGTAAAAAAAAAAAAAAGAAACCCGAAAATGGCATAAATAAAATCTAAAATAAAATGCACTCGTTTTATTTTTCTTCTCCGCTTATAATACATATATAAGACATCTAAAATACAACGGAAATTATTCATCAACGAAGTTGGAAAAAATAAGCTTACAACTGAAAAAAAGCTAACTCATTGTAATACTGATAACATATTCACGGACATTTATTTCTAATTTACCACGTTATAAATTAAAGCTATATATCTCTGCCAAAGTTTTTATTAATATTTCTTTCTCTTTTAATTATCGATTTTTCAATGCGAGTGCATCGAACAGGTATACTATATATACGTATAATAATGATTGTAATAGGAAATAGTTTATCCTTATCGTTTTCGTAAACACATGACCTGATGTTGACCTACAAACGAGAAACTCCGTGACGTAAAGGCAGTCTATAAATCATATCCCTGTTAAGTCCAATAAGGTATATTCGCAAAATCCCTAAATAGTGTCCAGGCGTTGCAAACTAATCTTGCAGATCAAGTCTAATATATGCCTGTTTTTAACTTGTCTCACGAGTTTAGTGTCTGTCTCTATTCATAGACCCGATGTGTATTGCAACTTTCGTTTCCGAGTTATTCATAGATCTTCCGACCTTCACCATGCATTATAGTGTCTGGGCATTTGATTGGTCGATAACTGGGGCAAGTGCGTAATGACATTGTTAATAAGCGACCAATCAAAATGGAGGATGGGGCCATATCCCACAAAGAATGGTTAATATATTCAGAAGCTAGTACGGGTTGTTCGGAAATGGGAATGAGACAACTGTTGTCAAGTAAAAGAACATTCGACACCTTTGTCAGCCGTGGTATTTACAAATTGAATTGAAAACATCATAACGTTATGCCATCTGAGTTACAGCAAGAAACTGTCTCACCAGAAACGAGAGAAAAAGTGTTAAAATTCATAAAACAAGGTATGTACAGAATAGTAAAAACCAATATGGCGCCCATTTAGCTGTATTCGTGTTTTGGCAGCATGCCATTCGCTTTGTTGAATTTGAGTTAAACCTACCTGTCTCTTGCGAAGAAGTTTTCTGTATAATTCACTGCTCTATTATCATTTTTGTCGATATGATGCGGCAGCGGCCGGGGCACAGTTCATCACAGGTGCCCAAGTCACGCGGTCACCGTTATTTCATGTGATCTGGACGATGTGACCTAGACAAGAATTGCCGTAGTCTCTCTGATAAACATTCCACCATTTGTTTACATCTTGTTTGAATGAGCCAAACACGTGACATGATGGAATCGAAACTTTTAGCTTATCTGATCAGTAATGTTTCAAACTTCATACTATATACTTGTAGATCTTTTAACGATATATATCTATAAAGAAATGTAGAATGATAATCGTGTAATCATATTTACATAATAAAATAATAGGATACTGATAAAAAGAATCGCTATTATTATAATCATCAGCCATAGCTGTAACAGTGGTCTTCAACCTATAACAATTTTATTGATCATTTTGAAAAAAAAACATGTTTTAGAAAATTTATGTTTAATTTTACCAGGAAAACTGAATAAGCCAGTAGATCTAGTTTCCGATTCTTCCTGTACGTAGAGGGAAGCGACTGTTATCGAGCGGGAAGAGTGTGATTTATGTTTATATCAATAGCGCTGCTTCCTTGTCAACCACTTGTTAACAAAAAACCCTTGTGCATTTTACATCCATCGTTTTATTTGCTGTGAGAAGAGAACTTGTGAGATTAAGAGAACAAAGTATATATACATCAGTACATTAAACAGACTGGAACACATTCAAGGTATTTCTTAATGGAACTACTTTGGTAATAAATCTTTACAAATTACATTTGAATACAGTGTCTTTAAAAGAAGTAATAAATCATTTACCCAATGAAAAAAAACCCTTTAAAAATAGAACATCTTCTTAATATCATTTTAAGATTAGGATCCACAAGTCTCCATGTCGTACATTAAAGTTGAAAGCACTGAATGAAATGGCAAAACAACTACATTATACTTATTTGCACATGATCAATCTTGTTTGCAAATTATACAGAAAAATATTGTTATTCTTTAGTCCATCCTTTATTATCAAATACATTATGATCCTGCAGCCTTTTTTCAGTGGTTTGGGATGGGATGTTTGGATCTTATTTTGGGCAGCTAAGAAAATTAGTAATTGGGAAGGAACTTTTGGAAGTAAATAGCAAATTTTGGGAGTTTGTTGTAATTAAGAAATAATTTCAATAAAAAATGAGGTTATTATTGGCCCCATATGTACCATATGATATGTGCAGATATATATCATATGCCTTCAATATATAGTTATTTTTTTTATCATTAATTAAAATCACATTACTTGTGTGCAAATATGCCATGACATAGGAGAATAATGATGGCATTGTTGAAATGAATAGTAGAAGTGTATTTACATAATAATGTTTTATTCAGGTCAAAGCAAGATGGAATCGGCAATTAATCATGATTTGCTCAAGATGTTAAACCAGTATGATTCAACCAACGGCACAGTGCAGCCAACATCAACTCTCAACGATGGCGGTATGTAGCTAGTGCTTAAATACACTTATTTTACAGAGCTGAATCATAAAATAACATTCATCAGTGAACTAGGAAATCAGCAACAGACCATTTGATGAGTCATTTTTGCAGGACCTGTTATTTTCACACAACTTGGTGATTTAAAAATGTAAATTTCTGTCAATATCAACCTGAATTATATACAGTTAAGTTTTAAAATGTTTATAGGAAGTTTCAATGTTGAATTTCAAGCAATAGATCCTACCATTTTTTTATCACAGTCTACATTACACTAAGTTAAGACGAAATGATGTAAAATTGCACGTAAAAATCAGTACTAAAGGAAATATTTCTGTATCATGATACATAAGTCTTTATGAAAATTATAATAACATTTACATGATTATGTTTTTCCAATATGTCAGCAGATCAGAGTACATTGCATGTAGCAAGAGCAAATTCTAATATTTAAATAGCTTTAGTTACAAGTAGTGGTAGCATTGCCAGTATACACTACATTTGAATACAATAGGCCTACTGATTATTCAGTTAGGTAGATATATCATTATCTCTGCAGAGTAGAGATGTAATATTTCATTAATAACATCAATATTTAATTTTGACAATTCATCATATTTTGACTTTGATTTTGAAAACTGGGACACCTGGAAGTCTAAAAGATGACAAAATTATTTCCCTTGAATGAAACCAACAATTGGCACTGATTTGCAAAACCCTGTGCTCACAAAAATGTTGGAGTCCCTGCACCTGCAGCTTGCAAAAGCTGGTTCCATATGGACAAAATATATATTTGTTATATTCATAAAAGATCAGAAGAGTGTTGTTTGCATGACTTGCAGGACTATCATAGTGAATATTACGGGAATATAATGTAGAAATGTGAGTTTAAATTTGTACCAATATTTCAATTTGCAGCTCTGCAATAGGAGATATGATGAACAATTTAAAATTTGGGAAAAAATAGATAGTTTCAACACTAGCAGCAATGATTTTATTCAGACAATACAGAAAGGTCTTTTCTTCTACTGTTGCAAAAAAGATTGGATTATCTTTAAATAGAAAGGTAGCTTTCCATCCAACCCATTTTTGGTTACATTTTAGGTTGAATATGCAGGGTAAACTTCTTTGCTGCCTAAAGTTGTGTATAACATTGTTGGTTTTTTGCATCAATATTCTCCCATTGATGTAAAGACATGGCTGAGTCTCTCCCCAAGTGATATTAATACAGCTCTGACTCTCTGCCAAGTGATATTACAGCGCTGAGTCTTTGCCCACTGATATTAAAGCACTGAGTCTCTCCTCAATCACATTAAGCTCCCAGTCTCTGCTCAATGATATTACAGCTGCGAATCTCTCCCAAGTGGTATTTAATACATCTCGGTCTAGTCCCCGTGAGATATGAGTCTCTCCCTCATTGATGTAAATACAGCTCTGTCTCGGCCCAGTGAGATCTGAGTCTCTCCCTCGGTGATATCAATACAGCTCTATCTAGGCCCAGTGAAATCTTACTCTCTCCCTCAGTGATATTAATACATCTCTGTCTAGGCCCAGTGAGATCCGAGTCTCTCCCTCGGTGATATTAATACAGCTCTATCTAGGCCCAGTGAAATCTTACTCTCTCCCTCGGTGATATTAATACAGCTCTGTCTAGGCCCAATGAGATCCAAGTCTCTCCCTCAGTGATATTAATACAGCTCTGTCTAGGCCTAGTGAAATCTTACTCTCTCCCTCGGTGATATTAATACAACTTTGTCTCAGCCAAGTGAATCAACTGATGTTACAGAGTCTGGAGAGCCTATCTGTGGAATGTTATCAGATTAATCACCTGTACATAAACATGTATGTGCCCCTTTGCTGCTTGCCAATAGTTCAACCAGTGAGGTTAAATCTGTAAAACACCCAATCTTATCTTATCTAAGGAAATAGTGAAAGCAATTTTATATGCACACATGTAGAAATTGTGAGTATATCTCAAATATTTACTTTCAGTTTGTATACCAGCATTATTTCCTGTTGGACAGACAAGTTTTCGGTTACAACTAAGTTAACCTAATAAGTTAATAATTATTTATAAAAACAATCAGCCCATATATGCTGTGTTATAAGCTGTCATCATCAAATAAGATCAGCTTTGAAAGCAGGACAATTAAAAATTTAAGGTTTTCTTCAGTTGTATGTTGACCCCTATAATATGTTTGTGCCTGGTATGTCATTGGAAATAAATTAAGAATTTCTGTATGTTTTATTTGATAAATAAGAATATCTGTTTATCTCATCTGGCAATCTACTTGAGACAAACACTGAACAAAATTGTGTGATTTATATGTACATGTAAATCATTGCACTGATGCTTTAGATCGTTGCCAGATCTAGTCTTTACATTTTTAATGTTTTCACAATATTTTTTTATGCTTCCTCTGCAATAGCATATACATATAAATTTACCTACAGATAAACTTAACAATAGATATACATGTCCTGATGAAAGAAAGTTTGTGAATATCTTCAAGTTACATCAATTTATTTAATCACATGAATGGGTGGTGTCAGTTTGAATACTAAGTAGAAAATGATGGTAGCTTCATTCTCACATCAGGACCTTCAAGATGTAATGGGAAAAATATGTTAATATAACAGATGTTGTGATTTTCCATAAGAGATTAAACTGATATATAAAGGTTTTTCGTTTTAACTAACTCCATAAATGTGTAATATGTTGTAGTCTCATTAAGCACTAAAATAGTTATTAGTATTGTAATAGGAAATGGAAACAAGATTTGAGAATTTGGCAATGATAAAAACTATTAATAGTTGACAATCCAGATTATCTCCCTTTGCTTCAATGAATTTGTAATTTCATGTGTGCCATGAGATGCCATCATCAATACAAGATTAGAAATAAAGACACAAACATGGGTCTTTAAACCTTGACAGTGACAAATACTGTCTTTCACTCTACTGATCGAGTTAAAGAAAAAATCTCCCTAACATCTTATTACCTTACCACACATGACCTCTGATTCTTCCTCATGAGATAGCTGTTGTCCTGAAGTTCTCAATAATGAGGCCTGTAAAAGTATTTGTCAATATTACTTGGGATCTCTATTTAGGTGCCAAAAGGTAACATAGGTCTCAGGTCTGTGACAAATAATATTTTCAGTGATTCCCGAGGGTTCCTACGTTAACCAGGATCTCTGACTTTAATTGCGTACTTTTCTGATCGAGCTTCAGAGATATTTTCTTTAGTCAAGTTGGGAGGAAACAAGTAGTATCTGAAATACCAGAGAGACATCAATAATTCTGCTACATTTTGACATTTCAGATGGATAAAATTGAGCCTATTATCTGTGACATGTTTACAAACATTTGAGAAAATTTCCCAGTATTATCTCTATTATTTACAGTAACTTATGTAAAATGTTCAAGGACAGTTATTATTACATGTTCTGATGATGTACATGTGTGTATAAAATGACAAGTACTTGACATACTCATAACTTGTGATCATCTTAATCAAACATGTGATGCTACAAATTCAGATTACTGTAAAAAATATAATTTTTTGTGGGGCTCAAATTTTGGGTTTTCCTTGTATAAGTTTTTGCTTTCACTTGATTTCAGGGATAAAATCTTAATAACAAAATGAACTCCTTCTATAATCCATGTCACAAAATGAACTCCTTCTATAATCCATGTCACAAAATGAACTCCTTCTATAATCCATGTCACAAAATGAACTCCTCCTATAATCCATGTCACAAAATGAACTCCTTCTATAATCCATGTCACAAAATGAACTCCTTCTATAATCCATGTCACAAAATGAACTCCTTCTATAATCCATGTCACAAAATGAACTCCTTCTATAATCCATGTCACAAAATGAACTCCTTCTATAATCCATGTCACAAAATGAACTCCTTCTATAATCCATGTCACAAAATGAACTCCTTCTATAATCCATGTCACAAAATGAACTCCTTCTATAATCCATGTCATAATCCATGTCACAAAATGAATAATCCATGAAAAATGAACTCCTTCTATATAACAAAATCCATGTCACAAAATGAACTCCTTCTATAATCCATGTCACAAAATGAACTCCTTCTATAATCCATGTCACAAAATGAACTCCTTCTATAATCCATGTCACAAAATGAACTCCTTCTATAATCCATGTCACAAAATGAACTCCTTCTATAATCCATGTCACAAAATGAACTCCTCCTATAATCCATGTCATAACTCCTTCTATAATCCATGTCACAAAATGAACTCCTTCTATAATCCATGTCACAAAATGAACTCCTTCTATAATCCATGTCACAAAATGAATTCCTATAACCCATTTTGCCTTTGTCTGTTTTTCATTTTGTGGACATATAAATTCATGGAATTAGAATATCTGGTAACCATAAATTTGATAAAAATAAGTCCCCTGCAAAAATAAGTCCCCCGCATAAATAAACAATCTTACAGAATGCAATTTTTTTTTTAGAAAACATGGTGAAATGACAGGTTGAGTATCATTTTATTTAAGACATCATGAGGGGAAAAAGGAAAAATTAAATTTTATGTTCTACATCTCGAGTTTTGTCTTTAGAAGGTGAATAAAAAAGACAATCTTTTGCTAATAGATTCTGACATAAGTGTTACTGAATTTCTGTGCTAAACAAGTTGGTGCACTGTAAATACATGTATTGTACATGTTCCTCTTTGTAAAGTAATTCAAGTTTAACATATTTCAATTGGTTTTCCAAAAAAATGTTTGGTACATTGCCCAACTTTAAAGATGTATGGTAAACTAGAAGTTAACAAATGACTTTTATGGCATTCAGCTGTTTTCTGGTTAGTATTTTTGCTTGAGATGCAAGCTGACGGCTTATAGAGCCAGAGTGCATGATGCATGTGTTTGTGCAGTGCCTGATGAAGCCATTACGGTAATGAACCGACTGTTGAGCAAGTTCAGTGCAGCAGCTGTGATATGTAAAATGAAGACCAATTACATCACATGGGTAACCCAGTCCTCTCTAGATATCTTATTCTAGTACTTATGTATAAAGATTGAAACTTAAATACGCATTATCTTAGTAGAAGATTGATACAGTTACAACACTAATGGTATATAGTATCAACATCATATGACCACTATAGGATATTACAAGGGCTTCACTGTTAAAGAGAATAAGTCTTCATTTAAGGTTTTCTTGGTTTTTGCAAGCCAGATCTGGCATAAGGAAATAAGCTTCCTTAAATGAAAAAAATTGTGTGAGATTGATATTCAATTCATTTTAAGTTGTAAACATTAAAAATCTTCTGGCCTGAGTGTTGGGTGAGTGGATCCTTGAGTTCCACATATGATCCCAATAGTGTCAATCCTTACAATATGCAAACATGTCAGATAGAGAAATTTAGGAATATTTGGCACACGTCATTCACTAATGGTCTAATAGCCATATCTAGCAGTAGGTCAGCTTTGTGTGGTTTTAAGATGAAAGGCATTTCTTGGGTGCTTTAACAGATATCTACCTAAGTATGTCTGTTGAATGAATCAGTCTGCTGTAGTTGTGCAATGTTCAGGAAGCACACAATCTTCAAACAATTCCCATTTATTCTTAACTACCTAGCTTAGGTCATATTTTCTTTGTTAAACTCTTACGTACACAACTACACTATATATAATAGATTGTTTTTAAAACTTCACTCGAAATCAAATTTGAAAAAATATTTTCTGACCAATTCAGAAATTGAATGTGCTAATCTGTTGGTGTATATTTCTATTGAAGATTTCATTAAGAAAATGACTGAGAAGACCTGTTTGATTTATTTCTGTGTTGTCCCTATACATATGGTGGCATTCACTGGGATTTTCAGTGTCTATGCTAATCAATCTCTCCCTACTATAATCCACTAGTTTACTTTTTCAAGAAACTCTTGTTCTGTTTATATGTTGCCTTCTTGTCATTATTTATGCTCAATTTTGTTAACGAGGTAATATGTTCAGGTTGTCAGATTTGTTTAGGTTTTGATATATATTGTTGCAAAAAGTATGAGGATGTGCATTTAAAACTTGTCAAACACAATCGGTCTTGAACTTCTCATGCATATGCACACATGCAGTGTATAAGAAAATGTATACTAGTTACGGTACATTAAGAAGAGTTTACACTCTGAACTATACAAAGGATTTCACATAAATCATTGTACTTCTAATGACGTATATCCGTTGAAAGATGTATGTCTTTATGAGGTTTGTCAAAAGGTAGGATAAAAGACACAACATCAGGGAGATGGAAAGTGATATTATTGTGAACTACCATGCTAAACAACTTTTGAGTTGTATTTACTTATTAATGCCCAGTGCGTGCATGTCCCTGATTGATCTAATTAACATGCTGTGAGACCTAATGTATTGTTTTCCGCGACTGGTAAAGATAAAAGCCAATCAAGTGTTTTCATTACCGAAACTTTCTTCTAATGACTGCGGTTAAGTGCAGTACACAGTGCACTTGTTATTGTTGTGAAGCCTGGTACATTAGAGACATTTTTTGTTGATGCACATCTAGTTTTTATAGAAATTGGATATTCTATATAGACATTTATTATGGTGCACGTCCAGGTTTAATAGAAACGGGATATTCCAGAAATACTTATCCTAGCAACAAAATTGCAGTCTACATGCATCTTTGATAGATAAGCTACAAATATGCAATACATAACGGAGTTTACCTGTACAGGCATTCATGCAGGCTCATTGGCTTGTTGAGTTGAGTGCTACAGCTTACAACCACAATTACATGTACGTGTAAATATTTATGAGAGAACTTTTAGAAACAAGAACAAATAGCTGTTTTGTACTTAATTAAAACTTGATGCACAGTGCAACAAACTCTTTATCAAAAATATCTTGAGGAAGTTAAGCCGTAATTTCCTTTTTCTGTAAAAAGTATACAATCTATGGGAGTATTATATACATAAAAAACCTATAAAAACAAAGTTGTATTTTAGTTTTATTGATTCTGGGAAATGAGATTTCTTGATGTAATAAAGCTGTGGGTAAAAAGGTTTAGGTATGATAGCCTGTATAATGTAAATAGATACACAGGATAAAAGATTTATTGTAGACTGATATACTGTAAGTCAATAATGTTGCCTGTTTTAATATTCATGTTAGTCATACTTCTGTCTTTCCAGATCACTGTAACAGCAGTCTTCAAGGAGAGGCCCCACATAACAACAGTAACACCATCAACACAGGTAAAGACCCTCCTACTTCATCAACCTACGTGTCCCCACCCCATACAGATAAAAACTTCTCTACTTCATCATCCTACTCCTCCTCACCCCAAACAGGTAAAACACCCTAATTCATCAGCCCCATCCCTCCTCACCCCAAACAGGTAAAACACCCTAATTCATCACCCCCATCCCTCTCACCCTACCCCACACTGGTAAACACCCTCCTACTTTATCTCCCCTATCCCCTACCCAATATGACCCCACATACTCCTCCCCAGGCCCCTTATGTTACTTCAGATGGACAACTCCACTCCTTACTCACTGTCTTATAAAATATATAATTAATATTGACCAATTCAGGTATATAGACCACCCTACCCTCCCCTAACACTCCATATAGATCTGCGAGACTTCACCACTTGTTTGTTACCTTGTAACCTATATTACAGGTCGTTGCCCACTTCTTCTTGACACACTGTCATTCTAGTAACATTTAGGCTAATTTATAAGAATGTACTCTTTCACCTCAAATTCCATGGCAATCTGTTAGTACAGCATCTGACGACACCATGGAACTCATGATTTTATTGTAGGAGCCTCTTCATTCTTTCCAGCTGTGTTACACATGATCAGTCAGCAGTAGGGCAATATGTTATTGACTATGGAACTTTTACCCTTGGAGTCTAATCCCATAGTATTACATTATATAGTAGCTGTTACCTGATGGCAAAAGGGGTCCAATATTAGTGCCTACCGACATACACTAGCCTGTCAGCTATCAGGGTCTAACATTCATAGCGACCAACTATTTACCACCTATGGTACTGACCTGTCAGCTATAGGGACCAAACATTGCTGCTTTTGATTCTTTCCTGTCAGCTATAGGGATTGAATATTACTGCCTAGAGTACTCACCAGTCAGCTATATATAGGGGTCAAATATTACTGCCTAGAATGCTCACCAGTTAGCTATATATAGGGGTTGAATATTACTGCCTAGAGTACTCACCAGTCAGCTATATATAGGGGTCAAATATTACTTCCTAGAATACTCACCAGTCAGCTATATATAGGGGTCAAATATTACTGCCTAGAGTACTCACCAGTCAACTATATATAGGGGTTGAATATTACTTCCTAGAATACTTGCCTGTCAGTTGTAGGGACCAAATATTACTGCCTACAGTATATTAACTCACTTTTCAGCTAGCTATAAGGTCCAAATATTACTTACTTCTGCCAACAGTACAAAATCCTTTATTTCACATGTGTTTTACCTGATCAGGTTGACATGACTTAAAGGGGGCCAAATAGACCCACCTACATTACCTACCAGGTCCTTTAGATCAGTTATAAAGGCCCTATATTACTACTAACTGCTGTGGTATGTTAACTGTACAAATCCACCTGGTGTTCAGGCCATTAGTCGACTGGAATATACATTATGACATACAGAGATGCTAAACAAGCTAATTAACATTCTTGCTCAGGTTCTGGTGTTGTAGACTTGTACAGATGTAAAATATCTGGTATATTTGTGTAGAAAATTCCTATACAGGTCGGTTACATGTGTTAAGTCCATTGTGTATCAATTCAAAACAAACAATTTTTATATTTGTTTCTTGATATTCTTAGGTATCAGTTCTAGGAAATGATAATTTATTTAGTAAGATTCAGTGTTTAAATATGATTTTATAGGGCACAATAGTAATGTTAAAGAACAAAATTATTCCGGAAGATTTTTGAAGGCTGTGTATTGGGTTACAAAAACATTCATGTGAAGAGAAAATACACTAGGGGTCTGATAATTTTAAGTTCCCATAGAAATTTATCTATACAAACCAATGTTTCCTGCTGATATTTTAACTCTGACCTAAAAAGGGAATCATGTTATGTGTTAGAGGCTGATTGTGGTCTTATTGATCAGGATTGTTAGTTAAATAAGTTATGTTGAATCATACGAACCCTTACTTGATTAACTAGTGTAATGTTTATTACATATTACCGTACCTATCATGGGGATATTGTCAGAAATGGCTAGACTATCATCAAATAAACATCAGCTGGTGTTGTGTTCTGATTATGATAGGACACGAGAGGTAATCCCCTGGAGGAATTAAGGTTGGTGTTTTGGTAAAGACAAGATGTAATTGACACATTTCCTGTAAGTTCAAAAAGGTCATGGGAAAGGACAACTTCACAACTGCAAGCCAAGAGTGTTCCATATGACCAGCTAATTTTGAAGAAAAGTTGCAAAAACATGACTTTAGAATGGCCAATGATTAAGTATGGGACCTGTTGTTTAACCATTTATTTATTTATTTATTTATTTATTTATTATTTGTTTATTGTCTGCTCTTTGGCATATTTCATCTATTGATTTATGATGAAGTTTCAGTGGGAATATTACTTGTGTATATTCCTTCATGTATATGTAGTTATATACTGTATGTGATCACAACAACTTGTTATAAGTCCTTATAGTTTACACAAGGAAATACATGTATCCTATTTAAATAACTACAGAGAAAAGTGAGATGGAGTTTTTTATAATGTCTACAATATACCATATAAAAGTTTACTTTTTCCAGTTTCAATTCCCACAGTTCTATGTTGAAGTTCATACCAAAATATTAATAAACAAATAGATTCCAACTGTAAATGGCAATAAAACAATGCGTATGTACAACCCATATATGGCGCAATACAATGTAATGATGTGTAACCATGGATACAGCCACATGGACATGATACAATGATTCTGGAGGTTGTTATACATTGCTCCAATGGGTACAGGATACAGTATAGTGGAAGTAAAATACATATAGTAGTTTTAGAACACAATTCTCCAAAAGGCAGCCTTTGTTATGTTTACAAGGGACAGAGTAGCAGTTACAGAGAAACAGTTTAGCAATTACAGGAATATTGTGTAGCAATTACAGGGATACAGTGTAGCAGTTACAGGGATACAGGTACATGGATAAATTGTAACAGTTACAGGGATACTGCTGTTATAGAAATACAATGTAGTAGTTATTTAATTACAGTCTTACAGTGTAGCAGTTATAGAAATACAATGTAGTAGTTATCTAATTACAGTCTTACAGTGTAGCAGTTATAGAAATACCATGTAGTAGTTATTTAATTACAGTCTTACAGTGTAGCAGTTATAGAAATACAATGTAGTAGTTATTTAATTACAGTCTTACAGTGTAGCAGTTATAGAAATGTAATGTAGTAGTTATTTAACTACAGTCTAATGTAGTAGTTATTTAATTACAGTCTTACAGTGTAGCAGTTATGTGTGCATACAGTATAGAAGTTTTAAAGATACAGTTACAGGGATACAGTGCAGCATTTACAGCAATAAAGATAACACAAGTTTAATACTACGGCTATTTCCACATTAACACACTCTGTGTACAATAGCAAACTGATTATGAGCTGTTTTAATTTGCCCATTTAATAAGCCGTTTGATCTCCTCCCAAACAGGTTCCCTTTTGTATTCGTTCTATAAAGTGATTATCTTGTGTACATCTTATACATATGAATACCTTTAGGTGTACATGAAACAGTGACCTATAAATGAACCTATGTAAGTGATGACTAGCAAGGCTGATAATAATTAGTTTTAATCGCCACTGAACATGGACATAAAGGCTTCCTTGGTGAACAAATCGGAATCAACTACCTGGTCATTTGGTTACTGTGTTAGTTAAAATCTATCTTGTAATTGGCCTGTTATCAAGTGAATTTGTCTTTGTTATTTTTTACATATAACAATATTACCAATGTTCCTTGGAGAATGTTTCATTAGCTACTTGGGTCAGAAATCACTGTGATGTCAAGATATGGACAATGACAGTATATCATGAAAGAAAATAGGTGTAACAAAACAACTGCTTCCATTTAATTTGTCGTCTGTACTTGTCATTAAAACCTTCTGATAAAAACTGTCTTAAATTTCTTTCTTTTCATATAAGATTTTTAAAATCTCATTTAACTCAAGTTTTAATATTTGCTCACATATTCTCGCCAAACTAAAAACTTCTAAAGCTATATTGTGTTACATATGTATAATGCTGAACATATCTACCTTTTAATAAGCCCATCCTGGAGAGCCAACATTCTCAGTTCAAGTCAGGGGTGCAGGACAATGGGATATTGTTTGTTGGTTTTGTGATAGTACTAACAGCAATATGTATATAATTCTACTGACAGAGGCAGGTGGATTGTTTTCCAGGTTTGGATTTATTAAGCCGTACAAGATTGCTTTAACAGAACAGATTATAATATATTAGTGCCAGCTGAATAAAACCTGTATGTTATATTTGAATCACAAATTTTGGCTCCAGATGTAATTTATTTTTGAATAGACGTGTTGATAATAATTATGAAAATAATGTACTTCTGTGTTCCATTTCCTTTATAAAAATTCATAGATACCAATAATTTGATTTTTTTTTTCAATCAAAATTTTGCCAGTGATTCAGTATGAGTTATCAGATACATGTCCATTGTTTTATGAGGAGAATGTTTTGATATAATGTGATAAAAGCTTAACAAATCTTCCTTCATGAGCAAATTTATATGTAAGTGAATAATATATTATGAAATGTTAATTTTCTTAAAACAGGAAGTAGTGTTTATATATATATATATATGACTAATGGACAACCATTGTGCTAGATATGGTAAATTAACTGCAGACTTATTTCTTTTACACATCAATTCTGGGTTCCATTTAAATTACGTCACATGCAAATTCTTGTTTTTATTATCCAGTAAGCCCATGCCTAACTATAATCACACCCATATGCCTATCTAATGATCCACCATAGAATTAAAGCAAATATTTTTTATTTTGTTTGATGCTCGTTAATTTGAGTGTGTGACATTATTACTTGGAAGATTTTCATGGCAGGTATTGTTGATGAAGCAGAAGACACTTACTCTGCCTGAACACCTGGTTTTATTCCTGTACTTTTTCAGGAGTCTCCGTGTAAATCTTTATTCATATTTTGCCCGCGTTTTATGGAATTTGGACTGTGATTATGTTGACATGTTAGTATTTTACACTCAATTATATGACAAGATAAAGATGATGCATACAGAAAGGAATCTTGTAGATTTCATTATAAAACCATTGTTTATTTCAGACCCATAAAGTACTAATTATATAATGACCGTGATATGATTCATGATTTGCACTTTGATAACTAGTAACATGTCACTTATTCAGATATTATGAATGGGAAATACTTGAGTCAGCAAAAGTGTATATGTAGTATGGTTTAAGTAGTGTATGGATTTTTTCTATGTTGCTTTGTATTGATAGTGACTTTCAGAATAGCTAGAATTACTGACTCACCCTAGTCATATGAAAATGTTGGTGTCTGTGTCAACGCAAGGCATTATAAATAGATTTTTAGTAATGATTACCATATGTATGTAGTTAATACGATAACACAGTATTACAATATATACCAGGCATACTTGTTGTATTGATTAGCTAAAGCCCTTCAGGAGAAAATTGAGTGTCCTACAGTACTTAAACTGTAGTGAGCCCTGGGGGCGAGGGTACAAATTCTGACTTCAAATCAGAGGACAAGCTTATTGCAGAACAAAAAAAGAACATTTATGACGTGACAAAAATTACTCATTATTCCACTGAAACACCAATAGATAGAGATGGGGGTATCTTCAGACTTGGGTTTATCGTTGGATAGTTATGGTAATAATGATAATAAGTCTTAACTAGATCCCAAAAGGGCCGCAACATTGAATTTATTCTAGTGAAGATACTTACTTTGAAATATCTTAAAGAATATTTTGTGTTATAAGAATTGGCTTTGTTAAGAAATTTAAGACCATCAAACTGTAAAATAGATATCTTGGTGGGTCTCAAATTTTGTGGATTTCTGAAAATATTAATTTGTTGGGACTTGAATTTATGACTTGTACTACATAATCATTGTCAATTTCTATGTGTTTATCATTTTGTGGACATAAAATTTCTTAATTTTGAGTACCCACCAGTTTTAGTGAAATAGATCAACTATGAAAATTATTACTTTAACAATATTTATAAAAACATCATTTGTAATGAGTCAGCTTTTAAAACCAGTTTTTTATTGGTTGGTTTTGAGTAATAATCTGGTGTAAAAAATGTGTTGCTTGATGTTTATTTAACATTACTAAATCAGTTGATTTGGTTGTTGATAGGTTCGTCTCCAGATCAGGACACAATGAGAAACGGACTGTCAAATAACGGAATTATTCCTATGGATCTACAGACAGTAAAGTTAGACCTGTTCCAACAATTATCCAACAACAACCCACAGAGTGTATCCGAGATAGAGTCAGTGTTTCAACCTTCATCTCCAGTCAACCCCCTACAGACTTCATCAGAACTTCAGGCCACATGTTCCCCTGTTAGAACGCTGGCCAATACAAGTAGTGTTCATTCACAGTCACCAGTCTCGCCATCTTTTTCACATTCATCCCCTTCCAACATGGAGGTCTCTTTGACTACACCTGCGTGTCATCTACCAGCCAGTATGGCTATGGAAATATCTCAACAACAACAGATTGTTTCCTCCAACAGTGTACCCGTGTCGGTAGAAACTTATAGTAGTCATAGTAGTGAGAAAACATTCAACATTCAGAGTCAGTCGGACAATTTCAGTAGTCCAAATGCTGTACAGACGTCGTTTAATGTTCATAACTCTGTGGATTCATTTAATGTTGTGTCTCCTTCGGGAGAAAGCTATTGTACAGAAAATGTGGAACGTGGAAACCCGTTGTTGTCCATGTCGGATGCTTCACAACAAAATCAATCATTTACATATCCCCATGCGGATGTACCAACTTTTGGGACCGTTAGTAGTGATGAGATAAAAAAACAGACAGAACCCCGTTCTTCGGGGTCAGTGTTACATCAGTTGCTTACGCAAACCAATCAGACGGATTATTTTGATTTGACTAACACTAGTAGTCCGGATACAATTTCAAGTCCAGATTATCCTAATGTCGACTCTCCATCATCAATATCGTCACCAAACCCGGACCCAAACACACAGGCGACTCTGATTAACCAGACAAATCGGGTGCGAATAGACTCCGATCACGATTTGCCAGCGAATCCTTTTAAGGATATTTGGAATATTACAGAAGAGCCAATTTCTTCTAAAGGGTTAAAAATTGGTCATGATTCTGATGTAACGATCTCTTCAGTTGACCACAGCGATGCTACTAAGGTATTTGACACGGATGCTGCCAATCCAAAGTTTGTGTTTCAAAAGTTTGGAAAGCAAGAGGAAGGTGCAGATTTATTTAATGTTGCCAGCATTAAAACCGACAGTCCAACAACACTTCAGTAAGTAATACATGTACACAGGGCCCAGCTGAAATATTCTGCTCTGTAGAATTATACTGACTAAAAGGTTTAGAAGTCAAATTTTATTTGAGAAAGTATCTAGTTACAACAAAATACATGAAGTTGATTTCTGCCATTGTCTTTTGTATTGCATTAGAATTTAGTCAGTGAAATAGATTTAAAGGTAGAAGTAATTTTCAAGGTTTATGTTAAATGTGCTTATTCATTATCTTACTTACAGCTTTATATTTACATGTTATTTACCACAATTAATCAATAAATATTATTCATGTTAAACTGTTCCAGACAAAAGAAATCTGCAGAGTTTAAAAATCAATGGTCAGTGCATCAATATGTTATAAGCTTTTGTGTTTAATATGTTTGTTTAAATTGTGTCTAGTTCACCAGAAGACACAGAAATGCCTCCTCCCAAAGCGGTAGTGGTGACACGTTCACAGACACATAGCAAGCGGGTAAAGGAACCTAGTCTGAACCAGAACTACCCAGCCAGATCTGGAGGCTATGAGATGCAGATTATACATCAGCCTGAAGAACAACATCGAGCCCGTTATCTTACTGAAGGCAGCAGAGGTGCAGTAAAGAATCGCTCCCAAGATGGTCATCCCATGGTTAAGGTATACGGTCACCCAAACTCTTCTGCTAACTGCATTTTTTTTGGCGGGGTGTGCGGTAGAATGAAAACCAGTTGTGGAATTTAGAAAACAATGTATTAGAATCATATATACTATGAATTTATCAAGGAGTTTGAAAAAAGTGGGAAACTTTGTACATTTTGTGATTAATAATATTTATTGGCCAATGATTTACATAGAATGGAAATTGTTTTCATTTTATTTGCGGATAGAAGTTATTTTTTAACTTGCAGAAAGAAAAAAGACCTGACCAATGTAATTATAGATTTAATAAATTGCACTAGAGTCTAAATGATTACAAATATTTGGTCATTCCATAGTAAATCCACTGTATTAGCCCCAGGACTTAAATGGTATGATACTAACACTGAAAAGAACAGAAATGTTGCAGCAAAGTCATGATCTAATTTGATGGCACTAGAAGTTTTCCAAAATGAAAATTTATTAACTATTTTGAGTTGAAAATGAAATGATATTTTCTGCTATGGATTTGGGGGAAAAAAAGATTGTTGGTGTCTCATGTTTTTTATCTTGCAAATAATGTCTCATTTTTAGCTGTATGGAAACACTGATTCAGCAGTGTTACAAGTATTCATTGGGAATGATGCAGGGAAAACAATCCGACCACATGGATTTTACCAGGCATGTCGTGTAAGTGGAAAGAATTCAACACCGGCTCGAGAACGGGACATAGATGGCACCACTGTGATAGAAATGGATCTCACTCCAGCAAATGAGATGACAGCATTGTACGTATCTCTGTGTGTTAATGCATACAAGTTCTAGATACAGATGCCCATCACTTTTTTGATCTGCTTCATTTGAAGAAAAGACTTATTCAGGCATTGAGCACTTTCAAAAATTCATTGGAATAAAAGGACTGATATGACTGTTTGCAACCTTTTCTTTTGTAAAACAGTCAATCTTACGATGCTTCTTTCATTCTATGGGGCAGGGATAGTTAAGGTGGTTAGGGCGTTGGCCTACATAACCTTAGATTATGATTTGAGATACAAGGTGTGGCACTCCCTACCCATGGTAATTTGTTTCTCAGAATCTGAGAAACTTAATGATCTGTTCTGTAGTGGTTGTGTCCTTGGGCAGGTCATGTACTCCTTATCCTAATGGCTTTGGATTGCATGGGATGTGCCTCCCATTTAGTGTTCATTGAGATAGCCACCAGCTATACAAGGAGGCCCATGTGTAGTAAAGCCCACCCCCTGACTTTGAGTATGAAGTAGTACGTTGGTTCCCTGGACTTTTTGAAAGATAAACAGGCTGCACACCTTCAAAAATATCTTATTTAATGCTGCTGGCCTTTGACCATTTCTGAAAGTTTGCCTTTTATGTGGATTTAAACTAAAAATAATTAGGAATATTTTCGGAAGCTGTCATGTTCTCATGATATGTATCTTTAATGTTTATAATCAAACACTTTGAACTTGAATTTTTTACAGAGATAACTGTAACAACTACAACTTCCCCAAACCATTCCTCCTCAAAACCGATCACTTCTTGAAACTGAATGAAACGGCGTTGTACGTAATGTGTCGTCTTTAGTATAGTAATAAAAACCTTTGCAATTCTAATCCTTCTGAACCTTCAAACTTTCTTCTATTTACAGGATTGACAATGTAGGAATATTGAAGTTGAGAAATGCTGATGTTGAACAAAGAATAGGATTGACGAAAGCTAAGAAGAAGAGTACAAAGGCACGCATGATATTCCGTGCAGTGTTTAAGAAGGCAGATGGAAATTCACAGACCCTACAAATATCCTCCAGTACGATATTGTGTAGTAAGTATCAATAGTCACTGTAACAGTCAGGATCATGTCCATTGATTTATACACGAAATATTTTTTCATGACATTAAGTCCATGCTTGGCAAATAAGAATAGAATTATCAACAAATACAATAGTGTTGTCTTGTAGATATAAGTCTATCCCCTAAAATTGAAAACCTCCTCTCATCTTTGGGCTTATTGCAAGACAAAATACAAACAGTTTAATTAGCAAGTGTCTTTCTCCTTGGATTAATTACTTGTAGGTAATTACTCACAGTTCATTATACAGTGACATTCCTCTTTAATATGTACATGTATGAATAATACATCGTTACAAAGTTAGTAGTTTCCTGATATCCTGGAAGTGAATTATCTACTTCTGTTCATTTCTTGTTATTTATGGAAAATACGTAGATGTTCTATAGTATACATTACAGTAAATCATTGTTCTATAGTATACATTACAGTAAATCAATGTTCTATAGTATACATTACAGTAAATCAATGTTCTATAGTATACATTACAGTAAATCAATGTTCTATATACATTACAGTAAATCATACATTACAGTAAATCATTGTTCTGTAGTATACATTACAGTAAATCAATATAAATCAATGTATACATTACAGTAAATCAATTGTTCTATAGTATACATTACAGTAAATCATTGTTCTATAGTATACATTACAGTAAATCATTGTTCTATAGTATACATTACAGTAAATCATTGTTCTATAGTATACATTACAGTAAATCAATGTTCTATGTTCTATAGTATACATTACAGTAAATCATTGTTCTATAGTATACATTACAGTAAATTACAGTAAATCATTGTTCTATATATACATTCTATAGTATACAGTAAATCATTGTTCTATAGTATACATTACAGTAAATCATTGTTCTATAGTAAATACAATCATTGTTCTATAGTATACATTACAGTAAATCATTGTTCTATAGTATACATTACAGTAAATCAATGTATACATTACAGTAAATCAATGTTCTATGGTATACATTACAGTAAATCATTGTTCTATGGTATACATTACAGTAAAACAGTAAATCATTGTTCTATGGTATACATTACAGTAAATCATTGTTCTATGGTATACATTACAGTAAATCATTGTTCTATAGTATACATTACAGTAAATCATTGTTCTATGGTATACATTACAGTAAATCATTGTTCTATAGTATACATAGTATACATTACAGTAAATCATTGTTCTATAGTTCTATACATTACAGTAAATCATTGTTCTATGGTATACATTACAGTAAATCATTGTTCTATGGTATACATTACAGTAAATCATTGTTCTATGGTATACATTACAGTAAATCATTGTTCTATGTAAATCATTGTTCTATGGTATACATTACAGTAAATCATTGTCTATAACATTACAGTAAATCAATGTTCTATCATTACAGTAAATCATTGATGACATTACAGTAAATCATTGTTCTACATTACAGTACACATTACAGTAAATCAGATGGAATATGTAACTTGTATAAAAATCTTTCATCACTGGACCAGTACATGAAGGTTATCTGGAAAGCCAAAGAATGAAAAGAATTCTAAAGAAATACTGAAATCAAATTTTTAAATCATTTTATGGGATGTGGACATGTATGTTATTACCCATGTCTCTCACCTGTCCTATTAAGAATACAAGTCATACCTTGAGAACCTCTCAACAGATTTAACTCTTATATCTACCCAATTGTGTTTTACAACTTTCCAGAATCTGGTTTGCAAAGGATTGAGGGCTTTCATGTCTAATGACTCTTTCTAGCAATTGTAAAAAAAAAACTTTGAAAATCACTTTTGAAATTGTGATGAAATGTTTAGTTGATGTATTAAAGAGTAAATACAAATAATAGATCAGTGTATTAGAATACATTAAAGAAGCTGTATGTGTTGACATACAATCTGCAGTAAGCTGCTGTAGGTGTATATGAATGAAATGGCTGCCTAGCTGAGCAGGTAATTAGTGTTGGCCAGGGTTTAAGTGTGATGATGTGAGGAACCAGACCTGCAGGTATTGAGTTGTCTGTGTATGTGTGCCAAGCCACAGAAACACCAACACTAGAACTGGATCAGAGAAAGTTTACTGTGTAGTGTTGGGCTTTTTATAGGCAAAGCTGTTGGTTTACATGTGCAGACTGTCGGCTGTCAAGTGTCTGATCTGTAGTAACATACACCCTATGTCTGGGATGTAAACTGTGAGTTTGTACTCGTGTCTATCAACAGAGAGCACTTATAGATCTGGTATCTGTCATTTCTGTAAAACATTGAAGGAGAAGCTAGGTATTTAAAGAAATCTTTCTGTAAGATTTACTCTTGTTTACTCTAGGTCAGCTAGTGGCCTTATTGCAGGGAAATGATATGAAAGCTACCAAACAGCAATAGATATGGGTGGACTTATTACCTATTACTTATTATAAAGGTACTAGGTAATAGTTATTTAATAAATTCACACCTGTCTTAGGAACCCAAAACAGATATCTGATTCTAGAGATGTATTATTGCAGAGCAGTACAATAGGTAATAGTTGGCTTATATTAAGTCCAGGGACCCAGGACAGATATCTGACTTTAGAGAGGTAGTATTATTACAGGGCAGTACAATAAACAACAGTGGGCTTATTATAAGGCATTTGCTTACACATTTGTCCCTTGATATGATCAACTTAGAAATTTTGTAGACATTTTGTTATTTTTGTACAATATAAATAAATATCATTGTAACTCTTCACTTGTTTATATATACACATGTAGAAATGAGTAACCATTGATCAGAATCTATGAACATTCAGTTCATCTGAATGCTGTATATTCAGTATACTTATTTCTAAAATCTGATGGCATTTTGTCAGATTTTATAAGAACAGCTGTATTTTTTATATGTAAAAATCCTTTTTTTTGTTGTTATTACTTTTTATTTTTCATAAACACAAAAACATGTTGTTTCAGTGCATGTATTAATTCAGTTTATTTATTTATAGAAAATATAATTAGAATTGACCAGCCAAAAAAAATTCCTGCTAAAAACATTTTGCATGCATTTGAATTATTTTTAAAAAAAATTATCAATTATGCTTTTAATTGTCGGGAATATTAATGATTTGGTCCCTTTCTTGTTTTGCCTAGTGCCATCAGAACACAGAATGTGAATTCAACTTTTTTGTTATTTTACATGCCTTGTACTTTTCCAAGTGATATATTTTTCCTACCTACTGACCCAAAAGCTGATAAAGGTCTGTCAGAGCCAAATGAAAAGTAGTTTTAGGATGGCTTTTTGAAACCGCTTGATGCATTACTTTGTTTAAATGATCTTTATATAATTTGATCAGTCTGGGAAACACTGACCCTCTAATACCTGTCTACCCTCAGCTCAACCAGTGGGACAGCCCGAAATCTGTAAGATGAGTCACGATGAATGGTCAGTCGAGGGTAAGAAGGAACTGTATCTAATTGGAAAGAACTTCATTAAGGGTACCAGGGTGATGTTCCGTGAAATGCAGGATGAAACAAAGGTGCTCTGGGAAAAGGAGGCGGAGATTGATAAGGATTACTTTCAGCCTGTGCGTATTATCTATTTTCTTGCTACTATATTCTGTTGTAAGTCGATAAGGAATGGGGCTATTTTCAAGAAGTGTTAAAACAATTTGTCCTATCGTTTGGATGGGCTAAGCAATTTTATTGAACTTTCTGTCTAGCCTTAAAGATTTCTATTGAGATTTATGCCTGAAATATTGCATTAAAAAGTAGACAAACCAGTATGCCAGCTACAGAAAACTTCTCTTTAGCTTGATTGATTGAGCGTAAGACTGGTAAGCCAGAGAGGTCTCTGGTTTGATTCCTAGTGGCAGCATTGAGGAACAAGAGTTGAAATTGTAGCTTACTCGGGCCTTAACCAGAGTATTACCATGTCTTTCAATATTGAATTTCTATGTGAAACTGCTTGTAAGATTACAATTTTAATTGAAGGGACATAACTCTTGCAAAATTTCTGTTAGAAAGTAAAGACAAATGTTCGTTGTAACTATAGTTTTGTTCTGTAGCTTACTTATAAAAGAAAACATACTTTTTTCCTTTCAAATAATGGTAGCATTGAGGAACAAGAGTTGAAATTGTAGCTTACTCGGGCCTTAACCAGAGTATTACCATGTCTTTCAATATTGAATTTCTATGTGAAACTGCTTGTAAGATTACAATTTTAATTGAAGGGACATAACTCTTGCAAAATTTCTGTTAGAAAGTAAAGACAAATGTTCGTTGTAACTATAGTTTTGTTCTGTAGCTTACTTATAAAAGAAAACATACTTTTTTCCTTTCAAATAATGGTAGTTATTTTGTATTCACAGGAACAGCAGATTTGTGGATTCAAATAGTTGATATTCATATTTTTCAAAGAGTTAATTTAAAATGTGTTCTTGACGTCATATTCTCTTCTTTTACTGTTGAACTTATTTTTCTTTCTTTTTCATTAATATTAAATTTTTTTCAATGAACAGACCCACTTGATCTGTACCATACCATCATACAAGGACACAAGTGTGACCAAGTCAGTAACAGTACAGATCGTTGTACAAAGCGCAGGCAAGCAGAGCGAATCTCAGAAGTTTGTGTATACTCCTGGTATGTTTTTGTCCATCATGGCATCTCACTCGAATCTCTACATAGCCACCGACCAATCTCAAAGCTCCTTGATACTGTGAGGGGGTTAGGAAGTTAGGTGTAAGTTCAAAGTGGTAACAGATATCTCTCTTTGTTTCAAACCTACAGAAGATTAATACTTGTGAACATTTCAACTGTGCTGTGTCTGTAATTCGAAAAAAATATTCTATAAATCTTAATATTTGCAAAAAAAAAGAAAAGAAAAATAAATATTTCAATTAATTGATCATTAAAAGAGAAATTTCTCATGATGATATTTTGATCACCACAGCATATAATTTATAGAAATGTGCTTCTGTTGTTCATGTATCTAAAAGACTTTGATACAGTTAAAATATATTAATAATTTGTAATGAAATAAAGAAGTATACAGTCAATGATTTTTATGATTTTTGCCAAGTTTTCATGTTGGTATGTGTGCAAAATTAGTCGAGGGTTTCTGCATATGGATAGATCTACTTGTCTTGTGAGGATTTTGTGCCAGCAAGCTTTTTTTTTATTTTCAATGTGTGAGTTTATTTTTCTCAACATAAACCAAGGTATCGTGGAATATTAAACTTGTCTTCCCAGCTTTCTTAATCAGTGCATGTTGTGTGAGGAAAAAGTCGACAAAAACTCTTTACATTGTTTTCGCCATATGCAGCTTGTAGAGCCATTCTGACTCGGGAGAAATGTTTCCCCAAATTTTTTCATTCGCTCGTGCCAACATGAAAGCGAGAATCCTTTTTGTAAGGATATATTCATCATGTAGATATAACTTGTAGCCCTCACAGTATCCAGGATGTTTATAGTTGACCGTCTGCCTTTAGGGGAGTACACTGTTTTATGCTCCACGAAGCTACATAGTTGTATGAAATTCTAGGAATTCTCTTTGAATTGGAAGAGATGAATCTAAAAATAACCGTCTGTTTCCAAGATGGTGTTTTTATTTCATGTTTGGTTGCTAGGGCGATGGCGGCGGTTAACAGGATTGGTTTAATGTCTGAAGATACCTCAAATTACACATTGTCTAATTAAAAAAAAAATAAATAAATATGTATTGGCAATTTTCCTAATTAATTTAAAAGATATCAAATACAAAATATTTTGCTTCTTTCAAAGCAACAGAAATTGATTTTTATTTCCATTTAAGTAATCAATCAGGATATTGATACTACACATGTGTATATGTGGATCTGGTATTAGAAATTACCAGAGAAAAAATTATCATTTCTTAGATGAAAAACGAAAAAGAATAACTGATGTAATTGCCTTTCTTTGTTTTTTTTGTGAAATGACATGAGTTGTAGATGTGAGGTGTGTTGGACATTTTCTAAGTAACCATTTGTTTCTTGGTTTTCAAGGCATCCCTGCTCAGGCACATACACTGTTGGTTACCATGTTGATAATCCTACTTAATTTCAGCGTTTTCCTGCCAATTTTTCAAAATTTAAATCTAAACATAATAAAATTCAATCCTATCAAATAAAGTTCTCTGTTGATACATTTGCAGTTTTGATAAAAAGCATGGAATGTTGCTGTAAAAATGTTACTGTCACCATGTTGGTGAGAAAAGCAGTATGTTTATAAATTTCATATTTTATTATTATGAGGTAAATCTTAATACTGAATAAATAAGAGGGCCTGTTATAGAATAGGCCATGTTGTCCTATTGTGCCCCTGGACTAGACACTTTCCTATAGTAGACTTGGATAGCATGCGGTAGGCCTCCTGCATGTTGTTTGTTGAGGTAGCCAAAAGATATGATAAGAGCTGCACACCATAAAATCACTCGTCACAGGGTTATAAGCCTGGAAAACACACTTACATACTGTTTTACATCTTTTAAAACTTGAACCCATATACTGCATAAATTGGAAAACATGATCTAACTGTTTAAGGCTGTAAAAAAAAAAAAAAAAAAAATGAAAAGTAGAAAAACTAGCCTTTACTGAAATAAAAAACAAAACACATAAATCTGTGTAAACAGAAATGAAAAAGTGCATTAACCTGTGTAAACAGAAATGAAAAAGTGCATTAACCTGTGTAAACAGAAATGAAAAAGTGCATTAACCTGTGTAAACAGAAATGAAAAAGTGCATTAACCTGTGTAAACAGAAATGAAAAAGTGCATTAACCTGTGTAAACAGAAATGAAAAAGTGCATTAATCTGTGTAAACAGAAATGAAAAAGTGCATTAACCTGTGTAAACAGAAATGAAAAAGTGCATTAATCTGTGTAAACAGAAATGAAAAAGTGCATTAACCTGTGTAAACAGAAATGAAAAAGTGCATTAATCTGTGTAAACAGAAATGAAAAAGTGCATTAACCTGTGTAAATAGAAATGAAAAAGTGCATAAATCTTTGTAAACAGAAATGAAAAAGTGCATTAACCTGTGTAAACAGAAATGAAAAAGTGCATTAACCTGTGTAAACAGAAATGAAAAAGTGCATTAACCTGTGTAAACAGAAATGAAAAAGTGCATTAACCTGTGTAAACAGAAATGAAAAAGTGCATTAATCTGTGTAAACAGAAATGAAAAAGTGCATTAACCTGTGTAAACAGAAATGAAAAAGTGCATTAACCTGTGTAAACAGAAATGAAAAAAGTGCATAAATCTTTGTAAACAGAAATGAAAAAGTGCATTAATCTGTGTAAACAGAAATGAAAAAGTGCATTAACCTGTGTAAATAGAAATGAAAAAGTGCATAAATCTTTGTAAACAGAAATGAAAAAGTGCATTAACCTGTGTAAACAGGAATGAAAAAGTGCATTAACCTGTGTAAACAGAAATGAAAAAATGCATAAATCTTTGTAAACAGAAATGAAAAGGTGCATAAATCTTTGTAAACAGAAATGAAAAAGTGCATTAACCTGTGTAAACAGGAATGAAAAAGTGCATTAACCTGTGTAAACAGAAATGAAAAAATGCATAAATCTTTGTAAACAGAAATGAAAAGGTGCATAAATCTTTGTAAACAGAAATGAAAAAGTGCATTAACCTGTGTAAACAGGAATGAAAAAGTGCATTAACCTGTGTAAACAGAAATGAAAAAGTGCATAAATCTTTGTAAACAGAAATGAAAAGGTGCATAAATCTTTGTAAACAGAAATGAAAAAGTGCATAAATCTTTGTAAACAGAAATGAAAAAGTGCATAAATCTTTGTAAACAGAAATGAAAAAATGCATAAATCTTTGTAAACAGAAATGAAAAGGTGCATAAATCTGTGTAAACAGAAATGAAAAAGTGCATAAATCTGTGTAAACAGAAATGAAGAAGTGTACAAACCTCTCTAAATTGATATCCTTAAAGCATAAACCTGTCCAAACAGTACTGAAAATATTGCATTAACCTCTCTTAATTGGACACAAAATCCTGTATTAATCTTCCTCATACATGAGGTTAGCTAATATCAAACAATATCCTGGTTTAGACTTTGCTGCCTTATATTTTAGTTAAATGGAAGAATTCAGAAATAAAAATTGCCCGAGTTTTTATGAAAAAGAATTTTTTAGTCTGTATATGTTCAAAATTTTTAAAAAGAAAACTTGAGTATTCCATAAACTTTTTGATACAAATCCTGAAAATTGCAATTTAACCATGTCAAAAAATATCAAAATAACAGATATATCTGTTAATATTTAATTCCGATAAACTGATCAATGTCTGGATATTGAATATAAGTTGAAAGCATGATTCATTATCTGAAAATAAAGTGTTTTATATTTATTTCGAAACATTCTCTATTAACCCATATAAAATCAGAGTATATACTGTTAGTCTACTTTGAGACATAAATATGATTTTCACTTACAGTCGTCATACATTGCTTTAGAGTATCTATTAGAGTTGTGTATTGTTGACCACAAGTCCTGTATAATAAAAATACCAACCAGAGTTAATGCCCTTTGTTTACTGAGTATCATTTTGTGCAAGGCACATCTGTTTGTCAATATCAGTCAGATTTGGACTTTGATTATTAGTTGGGTTGGAGGATTGTCCCGTAATGAAACACTCTACCATGCACTTAATTTATGTTGGATTCCAGAAGTTTGGGACACATAAATAAGGGACTGTGTTAATGGAAAATTCATTATTTTGGTCTAATAGCAAATTTTTTCCCAGTTTCTAACATTTAAAATAAAAATATGAAAAGAAATAAAACCTAAAAGTAAACAAATTCTCTAAGTAGAAAATAAACAGAAAATCACACCACACCTACTTTCCTTTCTTTTAGAACATCCAGATTGGTGAAAAAAAAATTAAAAAAAAAAGAAAAATTGGCAGGAAAATTGTTTTATGTGCATATGAACACGGATGCCATCATAAACATTGAATTTGTCATGATTGGGCGGAGCTTGACAATGTTAACTACGTATTCATGAAGTTCAGGATGTGAATGACAGAGGTAAATAAAACCAGGCCATTTTTGTTCTTAACTCTTACACAATTCATACTGGCCTGGGCAGGCTGGCTGGAACTGATCATTGGTGAACACCAAATTATATCCCTGCATATGTGTACTCTGATAGTGATAAGACTAGTGTCCGATATATAGTCTCAAACATTGTAATAGAAAAAATTCATGTTCAGAAATTTGTCCTTTTGTTTTTGAAATTGATTTGATAAGTTTGCCTGACTTAACATTTTGTGCCTTTAGGATGAGAAATTAATCTTAATGTGCTTTACTGTAGAAATAACTTGTCTTCCAAATTTGTATGAAATTTTCAGCAATGGATAGAAATCCCCTGTACACATGGATGCAGCTGATAAGCTGCAGGGGTGTCTATCAGAGTACAACGGTTCTATTTTGGCCACAAAATTTGGTAGGATTACTTATCTTGATAAGGTTACGAACACTGACCAGAGATCTTTAAGACACCTTTTTGTTGTCATTATTTTCACGAAATAGGGACCAGCCTAATTACAAAGGCAAATTACATAACCTTGCTTGTGGTTGAGTATTATGATAAGTCTGT